GCTCGTGCCGCTGCCCACCTCCCTGCCGGCCTCGCCGCCATAGACCTCGGAGCCCTTGCCGGAGCGCAGGTCGAGGGCGTCGTAGTCGCACCTGCTCAGCATGGCCAGGAAAAAGAGGCAAAAGGCCGGCTTGGTCAAGAGGTCGAGCACGCCAAAGAAGACCATCTGACGGGGTCGCTCGGAGAGGCGAGGGGGGATTTGGTCCACGGACGAGAAAGGCAAGGAGTGCCCGACCGTCAGTTCGAGTCTCTCCTTTTCGCAGACGGGCCGGACGCCGCTCGCGCCTCGTCTCTCCGCCCCGCGGCTACCCACCTCGGAGCTGACGCCGATGACGTTGCCGCCCTCGGACAGGCCCCAGCTAATGGGGTAGAGCAGGAAGAGGAAGCCGAGGTACGAGATGCCGGCGACGTAGGCGTTCCTGAACGCGCTGCCGTACTGGCCTGCGCCTCGTACGCCGGGCCCAAAGAGCGAGTAGAGGACGTAGAAGAGGGCGGCGCACGCGAGCGTCTGCAGGGAGGGGGGTTTCCAACGTCGCCGAGGTCGCGCCGGGTAGATTCAGGCGCAAGAGAGCAGCGGCAGGTCAGTCGTACCGCTCGCAACGCGATGCAGACGGTCTCGCGGCGCCCATCTCGGCGGTCGTCTCGGCAGACATCTCGACGACAGCGCAGGCAACGCGCGGCGACTCACAAAGTAGCCCCACTTGTACGAGGTGCGGACGAGCGCGCCGACGAGGCCGCAGACGACCATGAGGACGTCAAAGAAGAGGACGACCCAGATGCTCGAGAGGGGCATGGGGGTGATGAGGAGGAGGCTGAGGAGGAGGAGGGGCGTGGTGATGGTCCAGTCGATGTAGCGGGCATACCAGATCTGGCGCGTGGGCCGGCCGGCGACGCCCGAGCCGGTGCCGGCGCCGTGGAGAAACTCGACGGTGATGGGCGTGGCGCCGAGGTCCGAGGCCATGGAAAAGTAGGCGACCGAGGCCGTGGCGAGCACCGCGGCAAAGAGGTAGTGGAAGGCGCGGTGCCTGCGCGCCTCGACCGTCGACCAGGCCAGCACGCCAATCGTGGTGGCGGCCATGATGGAAAAGACGGCCCACAGCCAGTCGCTGCCCCACCTGGTCAGGGCGATGTCGGCGTTGGGCGGGTTGACGCGCAGCGCCTGGTTGCCCGACCTCGAAAAGAAGCCGAGCGGACCAAACGCGACGTCCGACGAGGCGTCCATGGTGGGTCAAGGCGAGGCGGTCAGGAGATAGGAAAAGGGAAAGAGGGCGCGAGCGGGGAGAACGACGACGAAGAGGAAGCGGATCGACACGAGGTGACGGCGATGGCGTTGAGATGGTGGCCGCGTCGCGGCTCTGCGCAGTGGTACGAGTGTGTCGGATGAGCTGGCGAAAGGCGGTCGACTGCCAAGGCTGGTTGAGGCTGGCGGGTGGGCGATCTGGGGGCACGGGAAGGAGACGATGGTGGCGAGGAGGAAGGGGCAGGAGACGAGGACGCGGCCGCTTATATCGAGTGCCAGACGCGCAGCTGCCGCCTCAACCAGGCCAGTCGGCGCCTGGCAGCAACGACGGGCAGACGAGGGGGCGTGCAATCCCAGGAGGGGAGGTCGTCTCTGTCCAGTTGCGTGCGTGGGGCCGTATGGCGACCTCGTGCGCAGTCGGGCAGGCGGGCAGGCGGGCAGGCGAACAGAGGCGGGCATGCGAGAGGGTGAGGTTGGGGCGATGCACAACGACGACAGACGGGTGGCAGCAACGACCGCAGCAGCTCATCCAGAGGAAGAGAGGCTAGGCAGGCAGCGAGAGGTGGCCTGTCCACGTCCCTCGCTCGCGATCTCTTTGTCGGTCGAAGGGTCTGTGCGTGCCTCTGCAGACGAAGCTGTGGTGCGTTCGATCGCCGACTGCGGCGGTGGGTCGCGTCCTATGCCAGGCGAGGCAGGCGAGGCAGGGGAGGCAGGCAGGCCAGCGGAGGGGGGGGCCAGGAGCGAGCTAGCGAGGCCAGGCTCAGTCGGTGCTGAATCACCTAAGGATCTCGCGAGCCCCGCCCGCGCGGCTGCCCTGCACCGCACCGCACCGCACCGCACCGCGACGAATCGGAGCAGCGCGCTCGCTCGCTCGTTCGCGCCCACCCTCGTTCCTGCTCTGCGCCCGGCAGGCAGGCAGGGTGGCGCGGCTGGCTGGTAAGCTGACTGGCTGGCTGCGCTGAGCTTTCGCGCCCTAACCCGCCCTGCCTGCGTATGAAGCGCGCAAGCAAGGTCGGCTTCGGCCAAGCCGCTGGCTCCTGCCTCGATCTGACCCCGTCTATCGAGCTGGGCGACGAGCGACGAGCGACGGGCGACAAGGGACGAGGAACGAGGAATGAGCGACGAGCGAGCGAGCGAAGCAGGGCAGGGAGCATGCTCAAAGGGCGCTGGATGGCAGCGGCTCGCTCGTCGGTCCCACCCGTGCCGTGCCGCGCCGTGTTCTCGTCGGGCGTCGGTGCGACCCGAAACGATGTTGCTCTGCCTGGCCTCATTCGACACCCTCGTCGGACCGGGTCCGCTCCGCTCCGACTCCCTCCATCGGGCTTCTTTGCCGCCATCCCTCGTCGGCGCCATCCCCCGACAGCAGTGCACTCTCTCGTCTCCCCAAGTCTCCTTACGCCTCTCGAGCTCGATCACGGTACAGACTGGGCACAGAGCTCGAAAGAAGCGGAACGACGTATCGACGTCGCCGCCGCCGCCGCCACACCACAACGCACCCCGGCTAGAAAGACGTTCCAACGGCCCTTGACGCCATGACGATTGCAATGACCCAGATGGAAAACTAGAGACGCGTAGAGATACGATAGCGGAGGAAGCGCGAGCGGACAGGGAGGGAGGCGGTTCCAGGCTGCGGGGGTGGAAGATGGGGACTCGACAAGAGCGGGAGACGGCGAAGCCGCGAGGCCGCCTTCACAATGACGACGAAGGCGATGTCGATGCCGATGCCGTCGCCGTGCCCGTCTTGACCCTGACTTCGACGCGCTCAATGGCCTCCTTGAGCTCCTTGGGGCCCGGCTTGGCCGCCACAGCGTCCGGCTCGACGCCCAGGTTCTCGACGATCCAGTTGCGCGTCGTCGGCCCAATGACGGCGATGCGCGGATACCGCCGCCGGCCCGCCGCCTGGCTCGTGACGGTGGTGGTCGCACGCTGCTGCGGCTGCGGCTGGTCCTTGTCGTCTCCCGACGCCTTGGCCGCCGCGTTCGATGGCTGCCCCGGACTGGCCTCCTTGTCGACGTCTGACGCAGCGCCGTTCGCTGCTGGCCCGGCCGGGGCGCCCGAAGCGCTCCCTCCTGCTCCGGCAGAATCGCCGCTACCGCTGCCGCTGCCGCTGCTCTGAGGCGACGCCTTTTTGACCGCGATCGGCGGCGGCGGCAGCCACTTGCGACGGCGGAATTCGTCGAGTGCGTAGCCGACGCCGCTGGGCGAGAAAAAGACGATCCAGTCCGGTTTGGCCTCGGCCATGCGGCTCGGTGGCTTGCCCGTTGCCTCGCTGGCTGCGGCTGCTGCCGAAGATGTCGACGATGACCGGCCCTGCGTCTTGTTGCGCAGCGCCTTGAGGATCGCGTCCTCCTCAAGCGGGTTCATGGGCTCCGGATTGAGAGTCGCCGGCGACGCCACCTGTGCAGCCGAGGGCAGCATCGTCGAGCCGGCGCCGCCCCCTTCGATACCGGCGCCCTGAGTCGCCTTTTTCGCCGCCGCAGCTGCGGCCGCTCCCTCGGACGACGACGACGACGACTGGCCCGAGGACGCGGTAGCGGCCGGCGTCATGGTGCTGACGCCTAGCGGCGTGCCGACCGACGGCACGTAGTTGTGCGACAGAGGCTTCCGTGCCTCGTCCAGCACCGCCGTCGACGCTGTCTCGGCCGCATCCGACGAGGCCCCGGCCGGGTTGGGGGTGCGGGACCCGCTGCCGCTGGGCCTGCGGCTGCCTGGTCGCGAGCTGAAGCTGCCGCTGCTGGGCCGCCGGCTGACGGGGCGAGAGATGACGGTGGGCAGCGACTTTGCGAGGGCGGCGCAGCCCTCGTGGAAGTGGCGGTCGGGCCCGGTCTCGTAGACCTGCAGCTCCTCGAACGGGATGGGCTGCGATGGCGGCGGCGGCGAGGAGAGGAGCGTGGGGATAGTGGGCGCGTTCTTGTCGCCGACGAGGTACAGGATGGGTTCCGGTTGCGGTGCCGGAGCAGTGGCCGACGAGGAGGATGGAGACGAGGAGGAGGAGGAGGAGGCGGCCACACCTGACGCTGCGAGCGGTTGCGGGACCACTGAGGCCATTGGGTCGCGGGCGGCGGTGTGGTCGATGAGCGAGGGGCTGGAAAAGTGGCGGATGACGTAGTTTGCGAGGGCCTCTCCGGTGCCGGTGGCCTCTCCGCCCATGACGAGGCGAGGCCGCAGCCAGGGCGCCAGGGGAACGTTTCGGAGCGCCGTGGCCGTGGCGGGGCCGACTGCGAAAAAGGGGATGCGGGTCCAGAGGGTGGGCGAGTCGGAGGTGGACCTGCCCTGGGAGCGGAGGGATTGGTAGGCGCGCTGTCCGGCTGCGACGTAGGCCTCTACAGCGCGCTGGCTGGTGACGATGACGCCGCGGTAAGGGGTGCGCGAGGTGGGATCGTGCGGGTCCGGATGCCCCTTGAGGAGGCGATCTGCGAGGGCGTCGGTATTTACGAGGTCGTGGGAGAGGATGGGGAACGAGGTGACGCAGTACTCGATCTCGTGCTCCTGCTGTCGTTCGTCGAGGGGAAAGGAGAGGTGGTGGGTCATGAGGCGTGGGGTGTCCTGGATGAATTTGCCCTTGCGGCGTCCGGTGGGCGAGGTGGGTAACCCGGAGGAGGACGAAGGGGACGAGGCCGTCGCTGCCGAGGCTGTTGCTGATGCTGCTGCTGCTGCTGCCGCAGTGGTCTGGGCGAGTGCGGTCTTGATGAGGTCGACTGCGCTTGGGTCTGTTGCGGTGCTCAGGGGTCCGATGCTTGCTGCGCCGGGGAGCGGTGTCGAGGTGCCCGACTCGAGTGCCGAGTCGGCGAACGAGGGGAGGCAAAAGGAGCCAAAGGCATCGTGGTAGGGGTCGGTGCCCTGTGAGGTGGGCACGGGGGTGCGTAGGAGGAGGACGGAGACGAGGTGTGTGGTGTCTTCGATGTCGTTGGCGACGGCAGCGGTGGTGGTGGTCGACATGGTGCCGGTCGGCGTCGATGAAGGGGAGACGAAAGGGATGGTGCCGAGGCTCGGAGGAAGTGGGCCAGACGGTAGCAGCAACAGGCGCCAGATAGGGAGATGGCAAAGGGGCGGGTGGTGGTCGAGAGGCAAGGGAGGGAGGGAGGGGTCGCCGACGAGGAGAGAGAGAGGGAGAAAGAGAGGCCGAGGGCGAGGCGAGGCAGTGACCATCGGGCTGCCAGGTGCCGATGACGAGGCTGCGGGTGCACCTTGGGCCTTGCTTGGCCTTGGCCTTGGCCTTGGCCTTGGCCTTGGCCTTGGCCTGTGCTGGCTGGCTGGCTGGCATCGGACGCGCCGATGCTGCTGGCTGGCGATGGTGCGAGCCAACACGGGTCGACGCCGACGAGCGGTGCCCCCGCTGCTGGCGGTCGCAAAGGT